CTCAGGCAGCTGGAACACAACCATGTACACATCCCATTCAAACCCCTTGGAGGAGGAGGAATAACTCTGAAGCTGCAGCAGCAGCTGCCATGGCTGTAATCATTCCAAGTAATCATCATACTAATGGTGCTCTGTCCTGGGGGTGATCCTTTTTGTTAATATTTTGTTAATCTTGGCGCTTATAACCAAGACATAAAATTTGCTGGATCTATTTGAATGTAAGGACTTGAGTCTAGATTTACTAAAACCCATGGTGCCAATAAGTTGAACCTGACGCTGAAGTCTGTGAATAGTCTTTGGAGTTGCTATTTAGATGGTGTGCTGAAATTTTAGCCCATCTCATGATGCACGAGTTACAAAACAGAGCTTATGCGACATTTCTATTGAATGATTTACTGATTTTAATGTTGTTTAAAAAAAACCTTTAAGCAATTTTATGTTCAAAATTCATAGCCGTTATCCAGTCAGTGGCAATTTTGATTAAATCTGGCTAAGAGTTAGGGGAAAGCTGGACACCACACAGCCTCAGTTTTCAAGTCCCCCTTGAAAGAAACGCCACTGACTTCACTAGAATGCCAAGACATTTTCCAAGACTGATGCAGATGCTTACTTGCATATTTCTTTTAAGGCATGGTTAGACTCCTATTAAATTTGATGGTACTAGTCACTTAAATAAATGTTGCAAATGTAGGTCCCTAGGCTGTGAAGCAAAAGTAATTGGGTTTATACGACAGACTTACAAAAGAGCCAAGCTAAACCATTCTATCACATTACAGTCACATCAACAGTGAAACTTTAACAGTGTATTTTTACAGCAGTAATAACTGTCCTGAAAGGGGAGGTAGTATTCTAAGCAGAAAATTTAAGCACCTTTTTATAACAATATGTAAAACAATTTATGTTGTAGATAGGATTGACCAATGATAAAAACATACTTAAGTTTATAGTTTTCTGAAACAACACCATGGCTACTCTCTAACCATCTGAGGGCAATCAGAATTGTATTGCTAATGCAAGTAAGCTACAAGATTTTAATCTGCTTGGACACAAGTTACCTAGTCAGCTAAAAATACCACCCACTGAATGTTTACTTACTGCCTGAGATCTCACAAAAATAACAAGGGAAATCTCAGACTTCCGAATCTCAGGTCACAGGGATCAGGTGCTTCATGTGGCATGGTCACATGAAAATCAATTAGCTGACCATACTGATTTCAGTGTGATAAAGTAGTATATAATATTCCTATAATGCCCAGACTAACCAGTGCTCTTTCTACTATGCGAGTGCCCATTTTGAACTGGATTTGATCTTGCTCTTGGTGAAACAATTACCTATACGGTTCCAGCAACTGCTCCTAAGGGAGCAGGCTGGCACTGCCGAGTGCTAAACCTCCTCCCACTTCCTTTGAATTCCAAAATGAAAAAGTATTTTAGAACTCACTGAAGATATATGAGGTCATGCACCAACTGTACAGTTATGAAAAACTGCTTCTAAAATTTTATGAAGGCCAAGATAGGATTTGGGCATTAAAAAACCAACAGACCAAGAAAGTGTTCATTAGAACTGAACTACTGAAGTCAAAGATGCACCAGAAACACAAAGCAGACTGGTTAAAACAGTACAAATCTCTCTCTCGTAATAGGTTTAGGGTATACCACAAGTAAGCCAAAGGAAGAAGCTGTATAAATACTGTGTTACTGCCTTCGAAAAATTCATTACATCTCTTTCTGCTCCTTCAAAGGGTTTCTGAAGCAATTTACTAATAATTTTCATACAAGTGGCTTCCAGATACCAAAGAAGAAAACAAAAGTTTCATTTCTTCCTGAAGGTTCAGAGATACAGTAATTGCAACCCAGACTCCAGAGACTAGGGAATTCACCATCAGCACTGTTGGCAAGCTACTATTCCAGAGCATACTGCCCAACGACTTTGTTAAAATTCTTTCACAAAAAGGAAGACTTAGAGTTTCATGTGGGATTATTGCTCTTGACAGCAAAGAAAACCCATGCTTTCATAGCATTTCTTTGCTACCAAAGAAATCCATGGCTTCTAAAGCCCACGTTCATATCCGAGCAGGAAATAACTCTAGCTTTCAGTCTGATACCTCACTTGGAAAATATGTACCTTTCACCTTAGTTGTTCAGAGACAAATTAGAAATGCTGTTTCAACAGCCTCCTTCCTTTTAGCTGCCCTGGAGAGCAATTTATTGGCTGTCACAGCTTAATGGAGTCAGGCTGAGGGAGTTGGGGCTGTTCAGCCTGGAGAAAAGAAGGCTCTGGGGTGACCTTATAGCAGCCGTCCACTACCTGAAGGGGGCCTACAGGAAGGATGGAGAGGGACTTTTCACAAGGATGTGTAGTGATAGGACAAAGGGGAATGGCTCTAAACTAAAAGAGGGCAGATTTAGATTAGATACTAGGAAGAAATTCTTCACCATGAGGGTGGTGAAACACTGGAACAGGTTGCCCAGAGAAGCTGTGGATGCCCCCTCTCTGGAAGTGTTCAAGACCAGGCTGGATGGAGCTCTGAGCAACCTGGTCTAGTGGAAGGTGTCCCTGCTCATGGCAGGGGGGTTGGAACCAGATGATCTTTAAGGTCCCTTCCAACCCTTACCATTCTATGATTCTATAATACAATTTCTTTACTAATTACAAAGATAAATACAGCTTCATTTCCTAAATATTTTATTTATAATAAGTATGTCCACAGCAACTAGCAGCTCAGATCCTGGACACAATTTACATTAGGAGCTACAACTGGGTCTCAGGACACAGTAGAGAAAATCTTGATTATTTCTGATATTAATCTGAATTGTGAGCAGAAGAGATAAAACAATATGGATGTTTTCTCCACAAAAAATCTAAAATAGTATTTTTTACTTCAATTTTTTCCACTGTCTGGTACTAGTATATTCCATCTGTACACATCTCCCAAAGGACAGAGCAGCTCCGAATGCCTTATACCTGAAACACAGTCTGCCAAAAAGGGAGTATTTTTTTATTAAATCAAACTGTAAAAGTAATGTGAATGATGGGGGGAAGATTATATTCACAATGGAATTGTCTTTCTTTTCTTCAGTAAAGAACATACCTTCAATCATTCTTCTGTCTTTAGGTTATTTAGTGATCCTTACATGATACTTCTCACCACAAAACAGAATAAATTTGAAAAACTTCATATTAATAGAGTATTGTGCACAAGCAAATATTTTAGTTCTAAAATTTATTACTAAAATATTGACTGAATTATGCGAATAAGAAAACATTAATAAAATTTACAGACAATGTGGAAATTTACCTATTTGTTTCACTAACATCTGCTCTCTGTGGTATGAATTATTCAATCGCTATCCCATTTGCCCAGCATTCACATTAATTTAACGAGCCAAGTCAAGCAATAACAAGCCCAGATTATATTTCTGTATTTTAGAGAAACATGTATCAACATATTGCAAATAGAGTCAGGATAATTTCTTTAAGAATAGATGTTACAAATTTAGACCTGTAATTTTTTTTTAAGTTATTGATATTATTATCATATGAATGAGAGTGTGTCCTGGAAGAGAACTCTTGCTCTAGGTATGATAGAAACTCCAAACTCTAAAAATGTCCCCATGCTACAGGGCTTAAACATAATACACTGAATAGGAAACAAAAATTATGATTACAACAAACTTCTTTAGGTGACTGAAAAATGTTTTGCAACGCAATTTTGAAATCCACTCAAACATTACTAAATTTATCTTTCTAAACTGATGCCTGAAAAACATAGTCTCTACCAGCTCCACTTTTCTTATTCATTTAAGCACATCTCACTTTAAAACTCCCAAGCAATGTCTTCACAGGTAAGCTAAGGATACCATTTTTTACATATGGCTTTCAACTTCTTCCTTGGCTCTGCCAAGGATGCCAGTCCACGCTGTCCTTTAGACAAATGTTTGCAACAAGAAATTTGGAACTTTCTTTTAAATGAGAAGATGAAGATGCCAGAAAAGAGGACTTCAGAACAGCTTTAACAAAACCAAACCAAAACCTGCCACCTGGCATGCTGTGGAATTTATTAATTACAGTCATCTCACTGCCATCCTCCGCTCAGCTGTCAATTTGTTGTAATATCTGTTGCTCTTCAACTCCTATTTGCAATGCCGGTTCTCTGGAGAAAGGTGTATCTTTCATTAAAATGGGGAATATCCATTATGTGGGCATGCCTCATTATAATTAATAAATGGATACAATAAATAAACAGCAATAACAGAGCAAAAAACATGAGTGTTGGCATAGTTTCACTCCTCCAGACAAATAAAAGCATGAGAGACTCTCAGCACAGGAAAGAAAGCTGGGTAACGGGTGGGCCTCAGCTTTCCAGGTCTCCTGTTCAGCCAGAGAGTCCAGTCTCACTCTGTCACAGCAGTACAAAACCAAGCAGATAAGGAGCGAGGTGGACTTTGCTGAACATAGATGCCTCAGGACTCCTAAACCGTAGTTTTCTGAAAATAAACCAACCAGAATTACCAAGAACCTGCAAATCGACATACAGGCATATTTTATCATAGTATTTACCTATATCCAAAGAACGCTACATAGTAACTTCCTCAGGAGAAATTTTCTTTTTCATAACTTAAGTATTTTGAAGAATACAATTACATTTAGTGCTCATTGTTTCAACTAGGACTGGAACGTCACAATAGCAGGACCATTAGTGTTAGACTACCAAACCATACCTTAAGTCTTGAATATAGGCACTTCACTAACATCTCTCCATACCTGCAGGACAGTGGCAAGAAAGTGGAGCCCACAATGGCTTACACAAAGCTTTACTAAAAGCAGCACCATTTTATAGACATTACCAGTTTCCTCTAGAAAGATACCACTGAAGAACAAGACTGAAAACATAGTTTCAGGGGAATCAAAACATCTGTATGAAGTAATCTAGCTTGAAAAAATGAAGTGGGTTTCTTGCAACTCGCTCTTGCAAACTTCTGCCCTTCAAGTATCTTACCTGATTACATGTGTTAATGTCTATCCCACTTTTCAGGTATTCCACTACTTTGTCCAGATTGCCAGCTCTGGCAGCTCGGAGAAAGCTTGCATTGCTGTCAGACTGTAAAAAGATAAGAAGAAAAAAATCTCTCATTAGCTTCTTCTTAATAGAGAGCACAACTTCATCACCAGTGAAAGGTTTCTGCACCTTAAGCTGCAGGAGAACAAAATTGTGAAGAAAACTGACTTTGCATTATATCTGCATTAATTAGCACACACATACCAAAACAGGGCAATACTGGCACAGAAGAACTGCAGAGCTGTCAGAGTAAGCAAAACAGTGCAACAATTGCTGAAGTTCAAAATTTAACAAGAACAAAAAAAAAAAAAAAGAAGAAATCATAGTAAATTATATTAACGATAAGAAAAAAATACATGCATCAGCTTGCTAGCCATAGTTTTCTGATGTTACATATATCTATATATGCTCAAAAATAATTGACCAATCCTGTCATTGACTATGCTACTTAAGAAAACATATATTGGCTTTGGATTTGTACGTGGAATAAAAAAATTACATGCCTAGAATTCATATTTCATGCACACACACTGGCTTCACGCAGAGGTACACACTGGAGAAAAAACAATATCTAAGAGCAAAAAAGTCCTATATCTAGATGTTATCACCTGTGACACAGAAGTGGGGCACACTAAAGGAAAAGAAGAAAAGTCTCACAAAACTGGGCGGCACTGCAAGCGTAGCTAATCACAGAGCAAAACGGATGAAGTACTCAAGCCTGAGTATCTAAATCCAGGATAATGTTGTGCACATGCTCACTCCTAAACTGCCTGCATTCATATGTTTGCATTTAAAGCTCCATTAGCATTTATAGGTTAAAAAAATAAAAATAAAAAAATCACGTTTTCATTTTTCAGCTAGGCTGTGGGTGGTATTGTTAAGCAAGGGAACATGAAATGGGCCAGCCTTTGCCTTTATCTGCAATTATGACATGAAATTACATTGGCTATTTGAAACCAGCACATGCTTTGACGTTCACCCACATGCGACCCTACACGCAGGTAAATTGGCTACCAATGCAACTGCAGATACCAGGAGAGGAAACAAAGTCCTGCAACAGCAGTAACGATTAAACAGAATAAGCATTTGGGAACGCGCACAGAGACAGTAACAATTTTCATACTTAAACAAATAGAGTAGGAGCGAGTTTCAATAAGCAGATAAATAACTGTAAAAGCCTGTTTTGTGGGGATGTGATTAGAAAGGTACATGCACGCCTTTGGACTAGTACGTGGCGTTCCAGTGAAACACCTCCAGCCGAGCCTGTTTCTCATCTAACTTCACCTCCCTGCCAGAAACACCGGGTGAAAATCATTCTTTCACATCGTGAGAATATCCTTAAAACCTCCCACTTTCAGCCTCTTAATACTGATTTACAAAGCACTTTATTTCAGTCACCCAATCCAGTTCAACGCATTTATTTCCGTCACCCTACTTATCACGCTGTACTAACTCACTTTACAATCCCCGATTCCAACCTATTTTAATCTGCAACAGATGGATGTCATCAAAGTGACTCTTCTTACAACTGCGTTACATGCCAAGACAAAAATATTTCCTTTTAAATTCCTTTCAGTGAACTTCAGCACATTTTCTACATCTTTTACTGTTAGGAAAACAGGCCATCTTTCTAAACATGCAGCAGGGTGAAGGGGAAGGTAGCGCAGGAATTCACGTTGACAGAACCCTTTTATAGCTCCAGGCTTCAGCCAGGCGAGCATTTGGATGAGGCTTGATACAGGAGCAGATTCTAACAGGTCCTTGAAAGAGATTCCTTTTAAGATCCAAGGATAGCTATTAGCACTGCACTGGCTCCTGTGATGCATGTGCGTGCATAAAGAAATAAAATTATATTTTAATGTTTAAATGTCCTTGAAAAATCAGCTGTCTTGGTAACAACATTAACCAAGAACAAATATTTGAGCACCACGGGTAAATCTGGACACTTGAAATAAATGAGAAAAGAATCTTTGCCCTCAATAGAACACACATTTTACCTTCTTTTTCCCCAATTTTTTTCCCATGCTTTACTACCTCTACAATAATTTAACAGGACAAAACTGCAACAATCTGTTTTTATACTTTTAAAAGGTTAAGTGAGAACGACACAACAAATTAAGATCTACAACTTCTGTTTTATTAGGGATGAATCAATCACCACTTCTTTTTCTTTCACGCAGAGTTAACAAGAAAGGCTAAAAATGTTAAAAGTCTCAATTCTTTCTGGAAGATCAGGCTGTAGCTAAGGCTGTACGAATATATTCCATATGTTTCTGGCTATGATGATGCAAGCAGCGCTTTCTCATTTCCTTGTTTCATACTTCTGTTATTGCAGAATTAAATTACCGCAAAGCACATCACTTCAAGGTGCATTACGTACACCCGAATATCGATCACACTGCACAATATGAACTTCTTGTCTACATGCAGAGTTCTTATGAATTAACTCTTCATGATTAACTCCCTGTACAGGCACTTTCTATTCCAGAAGTGACTCTTGCTGTGTGTGGTCTCACCCTGAAATAGCAGTGCTTGGCTGTGAACAGAAGAGGAACAAAACCGTTAAAATCACTGTGAAATACAATGAGAACTTCACGATTTATTTAGGTGCCTTTGAAAATCCCAGCCTACATGATCGTTGTTTTGTTATGAATTTTCTCACTGTAACATATACTGACCTCTTATTAGATGAATATAATTGTATGCATCTCTTCATAGTCTGTCCTCTCCTATTCCAAAATATTTTCTCACAGACTTGACTGATGTTCTCGTTTATAGCAAACTTGAACACACAAATAAAACACACAAAGCAGCAATTCAGCTGCTTCGAATACAAATTCACATACAAATACCATTGAGGGCTTCCATGAAATACTCAAAAGACTCAGCACCGCATTTTAAAGCTTAGCAGTCAGGAGTACCCTTATTTGTATTTTCTTTCCTGGTTTCGCCAACTCTAATTTTTCGGTAGGTCATCACTAGTTTCTCATTTTCCCCATTCTTTCAAGGTCTTTCAAATGCATTTTTGTCAGTACTACTGTCTCAGCAATTCACTCACTTCAGCACATTATGAATTCAAATCCATTTTGACAAAATCATCTCCGTAGTCAACAGCAGCAGATTTCTGTAGTTCTACCATGCCAGGAAACGATGTTTGATATGTGGGCTTTTCTAATTGACTTAGTAATCTAATGAAATCTTTCATTTCCTTACATGTAGATTTTTAGTTGAATTCATGACACATTTCAGTGACACAGAAGCTGACATAATGGTCTTTGCTAGTGTGCTGACTGAAGACAAACTGTCAACAAACCGTCATTTGAAGATACTTTCTTTCCAAGAAAGAAGATAAAAATATGGAGACAGAGTCCTTTGCACCGTATGATGCTTCTCACGTCAGCTCTTCCTATGCACACACCCCTGAGTTTTCTGGGGCTTTTTTAGGAGTTTTACACATGTATGGAGATCATACTCAAAAGCAAGCACTCTACCAATAAGGAAAAGAAAGGTTTACAAGAGAAGAGTTATACCTTCAGCTGCCACCAGCAACCACGTGAGCGTGAGAACATGAGAGGCTCGCAATCTGGGAAACCCCAATGTCGACATGTTAATTTGCAAAGTCTCCGCTGGCATCCCTACATGCCACCCACAGTTCAGGTCTGTCAGGACTATGGATCACTTTGTTTACATGTGGCCACTAAGGCTGGGCAATCTACTCAATATGCTATTAACACGCCATTAGAATAAGGTATGAAGGATCGAAGAATACTTAGCTGATATTTTATAGTATGGGACAAACTCACAACCTGCGGACCTAACGCGCTTTTTCTAAGCTACTACTCTGAGACATCCAAACTGCTCTATGAAAAATGCACCACTAACAGTAATTAACATTAACATTTGACTGCTCCATAGAGAATTTTTCTTTTCACTACAGTCGTGATTGAATCTGGACGATTTACTTCCAGTTCTACAGATACCAAATACTGATCAAAGAGAAGGATAACAGTCACTGTAAAACACAAAACAAAACAACTTCCAACACATACGCAGTATGAGAGTACTACAAGAATTTGATAACTACTTTTTTTAAAAACTCTGTTTGCAATGCAATTCTAAAAAATGCTATAGATTTGTGAGGAATATTTGGTGTTACTGAACCTTATAAAAAGCTTCTATCTTCTAACTTCACTTTTCTTTGTTAACTTTTGTCTGAGGAAAATGAGAATTTGTCTGAAAATTAGAATTTTCAGAGCACTATAAACAAATAAACTATAATGTGAAAAAAAATGCTACAACATTAAGAACACTTGCAGCAGAATGCAAAAGTGTTCTTTGTAAGTGCCTAACTGTCAGACATTGCACAAGAAAATATAAGAAACCAAGTGAATACATGATCTAAAAAAAAAACGACTGAGAGGCTGTGGATTCAACTTCTTTCTTGTAATGCCAGAATTTCACCTGAATTTGAAACATATAGCTCAGGGAATCTCAGTAATTAAATCATATGTGAAAATTGGTATTTTATTCAAATAGTCGGAAACCTTCCCTTCTGGTTCCTCTGTCCTCGCTCTGGTTGCCTTTCCTGCCTCAGAGCATACCACATTGCTTATCGCACATAGCACACACTTGTTTCTCAAAGGCATTTTACAGAGATGAGAATCATGGAAATCGTGAAATCATATGCTGCACCAAACTCATAGGAACTTCTCCACATACTCAAATTTGCTGGTGAAACCCAGCTTCATGCTTAAGAAGGAAAGATTGGGGGAGTAGCAGGCTTCAGTTTTCAAAAGACGGCTTTCACAATAACACTATCCAAAGCATCCAAGCACTTATTTGAAATTATGTCTACAGTAAAATTATTCTGTCAGGTTGGCTTTGGTTTTTTTCCCCCTCCAGATAAGATGAATGACCCCAGCCTGTCCATAATCACAAATATCTGTGTGGGAGAACGGAGCCTAGCAACAAGGCCTACTGAACAATTCTCATCTGTTAAATACAGTTTATCAATTGAATGACAGCAAAAACAGAATTCAAAA